CTTCTTTGGCTTTATGCTTGCAAAGTAGTCAGGACATAACAGTAGGAAGCGTGCTAGGAGCATGAATATATAGATAGTGTTTAGGTGGTTTGAGAGAGTGCTTAGAAGAGCATTGCAAATCGCCAAATGGAAAAAATGACACAGGAGCCGAGCCATCACCGGCGTACTTCAACATAATAATGCACGGTGAGGAGGAAGAGGTCCTCGACGGCACTCAACTGGCCGCCGATTGGACTTTCTCGGGATTGCAGAAATTCGGCCAGGGTCTGTTGGATCGTCTCAGGGGATTGCGACTTAACAACAAGTTGCTAGAAAGAGTAAGCAACCGTGACGAACAATTATCTATCTACAGATATATATATTGCGCACCGCAGACATACACATTACGATAGACAATCCGGAATTAATTTTTTTTAATGCAAATTGAATATTTGGAGTTTCGATTTAAAACAATTGTTTCAAATTTTTTATTTTTTTATTTTCTTCATTAAATTAAACTTTAATTATAATTGCAAAATAAAATTTAAGAAAAAAGAAAATCTCACTTTTCGTTTTATTAATGTTTTAAAATTCTATCGTGTTTTAGATGTAAAATATAAAAAGAGAAAAATTATAATCACATAGCATAATTAAATCAACCTATGCGACGTAATTATATATTATCACCTAAAGTCTCATATATAAACAGATAGCTAATAATTCGTGATAAAAATCAAGTCAAAAATTTAATTATAATTTTATATGCATATTTTAATTTTTCAAATCTTTTGTATTGTACGACATAAAATTATAAGTGGAATTCTATCTCGAATTTTATCACGAATTATATATCGCTTAAAGTGGACTTTAATTATCTGCTATAACTATGTCAGGTAAATATCGTCGAGATACCGGGTATCTTGGAAATTCGCAAACAAGTTCAACGTTTATTCCCTTTCAACGACGCGTGCCAGTGGTTCATCGATCGAGCGGACATAATATTTTTGGTTTACGATCCCGCAAAATTGGACGTCGGACCCGAAACCGAGGCAATCCTTGATCAGTTAAAGGGAAGAGAATATCAGGTAAGAAATTATGAGAGTATTATAAATAAAATCGTTAATATTCTCCAGCATCTTTATCTGAAAAAAAAAAGAAAAGAAAAGAAAAAGTGTCTCAAATATTCATCTAATATATAATAAATAAATATATAACTTTATCGTCGAGATACCGGGTATCTTGGAAATTCGCAAACAAGTTCAACGTTTATTCCCTTTCAACGACGCGTGCCAGTGGTTCATCGATCGAGCGGACATAATATTTTTGGTTTACGATCCCGCAAAATTGGACGTCGGACCCGAAACCGAGGCAATCCTTGATCAGTTAAAGGGAAGAGAATATCAGGTAAGAAATTATGAGAGTATTATAAATAAAATCGTTAATATTCTCCAGCATCTTTATCTGAAAAAAAAAAAGAAAAGAAAAGAAAAAGTGTCTCAAATATTCATCTAATATATAATAAATAAATATATAACTTTTTCAAACACAGACCCGCATTATTCTGAATAAAGCCGATCAAGTGAAACCCGAGGAGCTCATGAGGGTGCAAGGCGCCCTAATCTGGAATATATCGCCGCTAATGTCGAGTGCCGAGCCGCCGATAATGTACTCCACGTCGTTATGGTCCATACCTTACGAAGCTGGTGCGCCCATCAGATTGTTGTACGCTCAAGAACGCGCATTCCTTCGCGATCTACGTTCCGCGATAAACAAGAGAGTCGAGCACAAAATAGCGAGCGCCAGAAGATTCGCCGTAAGTTTAATCCAATTTTTTCAAAGTAACGAGCTTTTTAATCGAGCTTTCCTTACGAATTTCGAGCAAATAATTATCGCGAGAAGATAATACAATCTATCATAAATTATTCACTTGGATTTTATACAAAGAAAAAAACTGCACTAGAGTAAAAATTGGCTTGATTCGTTCGATTCATCGTCTATTTTAGGTACGAGTGCGCAACCACGCGAAGATGGTAGATTGCTACCTGACGACTTACTACAACCACAAGACGTTTTTTGGCAACAAGCGGGAGATCAGCGACAAGATCATCGAGAATCCACAAGATTATCATATCTACGAGGGTCTCAGCACCCTGACCAACATATCGCGCTATGACCTGCCCGATCCGGATGTCTATCGCGACTTTTTCCGGCTGAATGCGCTCTACGACTTTCCGCTGCTCAGCTCTACCTGCACGTACTTCCGCGGCTGCCCGATCAATAGGCTCGACGTGGCAATCGCCTACGATCTACCCGAGCTGGTGGGCAAGTACAAGAAGTCGGTAGAAACAGTGCTGCACGGGAGCGAGGGTAACAGCCCGCCGAGTTGAGTGCAAGTCCGCGTTCTGGAAAAGAGTTCTTGATATCATGTGAAGTATGGACCCAGCGACACAGCGACCTTCGCTACACCGAGGAGAAATGATTAACAACCTCGGTGACGCGAAAATCAAGGACGCTTGATGAGGCAGTCCGATATTTGAAATGGTTTCGAGGACTCTCTTCCTGAAATTCAAGCAGCTGGATCGCACTATCCTCGCGTGTCGTATTCGAGGTGCTCCGATGACAAGAGGTCGGTTCGCGAGAAAAGCCGACGGTCACGAGAAAAAGAGAGAACAGGAGCGGAAGGACAAGAAATGCGTGAAAGAGCAACATCGCGTATCTCTAGATCCAAATAATTTAGCCTCGTCCCTCTCGACAAGGCAAAATGCAAAATATGAAGTGTGATATCACGGATTCAATGATCGGTACACCACCTCGTTTGCAGAAAAAGAGCAAGTGTGTGGTTGTTTGTGTCTGGTAAAACAATGCGAGTGTTACCATTCCGATCCAAAAGCGAACAAAAGTGAGAGTTCCCTACGAATATACATATGTGTTCAGATATCGGTTCCTCTCGGCGAAAATTCTAGGCTTCGATACAACAGTGATCTGTGTCGCTTTTTTAAGTATTCGATAAGATTCGTCCAAATTTAATTTAAAAAATTCTAATTTCAGTATTTTTGATATCCAATTTTAATTTCTCTAATTTTTGAATTTAGGAGATAATAATCCTCGTTTAATTTTCTTTTCTTCTTTAAGAAACTTTAGAATTTAATATTTATCCACCTAATTTTAATTTCAAAAAGTTTTATTTTACAAGATTGGCATACCTAAAATTAACTTTACGTAGAAAAAAAATTAAAGTTTAAAATTTCATTTTAAATTTGATTTTCTCGAGCTGTGAAAAAAGATTCAATCACTATTGCACCTAGTCTTTAAATTCGCTTGTCTCGCGACGAATCGGTGCCTGCTGATAACTTTTATCTCGAAAGAAGATAGACTCTCCAAAATGGACATAATGTTGAATAACTGCAACGGTTTCGTCCAAAAGCCATCAAGGATATATTAAACTAATCGTATCGAAATATTTCCATTGCGAAAGAGATAAAGTGATCTCTTCTTGAGGCTTTTGTGGAATACCTTATATGAGCTGATTTGTGTTCTTATTAAAAAAAATGTGTAATTAAATAATTTAAGATATACTGATCTCTCACGCGTTGCTCAGTTAACGTGTGAGACGAATCGTTTGTGAGAGAGAGAGAAAGTGCTTTCCTGATTAAAAACTTCAACTTTCTTCTCGAATTCGCGTTAAAAATTATGTTTCCTATACTTTAGACATACACGCTGTGTCCTTTTAAATAATCATATTGTAGATATTTAAAATAGCCTTTCTTTCCAAATTCTTTTATCCTTATTTATTTAATTTTAGACTGTCAAATCTTATAAATATTTAAATTTCTTAATTCCTATAAATTTCCTCAAATTCTTTTGTTTAAATCGCTAATTCTATTTTTGGATTTTCATATCGTCAGACACAAATCCTTTTATTCCGTCTTTAGAATGTTTTTGTGTGCATCCTATCTATTTCAATTGTATTTCATTAATTTTAGACAAACTGTTCAATGGATATAATTGGTCACGTTAATATTCACGATATTAAAAACCCTAAACGAAGACAAATATAATGTAATGCGTTTTCAGTCTGTTATATGCACATTACATTTTTCAGCGGAAGCACAAACGCGTTAGAGATGCAAGGTGCAAGTGAATCCTAATCGCGAATAACAGAGCAAGCTTTATCATTCACATCATTTAAAATAATCATATAAATGCGTAATTCATGCATCTAAATATGTATACTGTTGACATCGTTGTTAATACCATTGTTGTTGCTGTCATCATTGTTATCCTACATTATACGAGAAAATTATGTCGAGTAAATTTAATATTGTTACAAAGATATATGTTATATCAAGGCATCTATTTCTTTAGTTAGAGTAAGGTTTAATATATCGACACGTACAATGTACCTAAGCTAAGTAGATATAATTATACGAAATTTATTATAATTATTATATATCTTTAGGCAAATGTGTACGTTATAAATAAGAATGTGTGTTACAGTTACTGATTGTGTACATATATGACGTCATTTCACACCTAAATACACAATCGATCACTCATTTATTCATATAAGTTGTTGAATGAATACATATATCGACTCACGTTTAATAGAAACAACGAGATTTGTATGAAAACTTTTGCATAAATATCTCGTCAAAGGATAATTCTTTTTCAACGTGCAAAGTAACAATTATAAATGAAATTTGGTATTAAAATTTAAACTTGGATGCCCGTTTTTGCTTATGAGCATTAAAACATATTCTTTTCTATGCAACAATTATGCAAAAATATTGTTGCTCTTATCAATGTTCTTTAAAATTCATAGACATATTTAAAAAGAATTTATAATTCGATAATAATGTTTAAGAGTCGAAATATCCATTACTCTTAATGAATGTTTTATATTCTAAGACAGCATATGTCATAGAATATGAATGTTGCATTATACACATGCAAAGCAGAATGCATTTCCCATGCAAAACATCATATGCGATCTTTCATGCAAGACAGAAAACAGTACTTACATTCGGCGTAATCTCGCGCAGCCATTCGTCCAATTGCTCATCGAAATCAAGCTTGGAAGCTAGTCTCAAATCTACCACCGCTTTCTCGAACTGTCCAAGCAAACGATAAGCTCTTCCTCTGAATTTGTACGCGACTGCGCTGTCCGGGTTTAATTCTATAGCATGATCGCAGTCACGAATACAGGCATTTGGCTTGTTCAATAGCAGAAAGACCTGACCTCGTTTAGCATATAGCACAGCCGCGTGAGGATTCAATACAATAGCTTCTGTGTAAAGTTGTACAGCTTTTTCATAATCTTTTTCCATAAATGCAGAGACTGCTTCGGATCTCTTTGCCTGTGACTCTGCAATTTCCTCCTCTGTGGGTTTTAAAGTTAGATTTCCCATTTTTTGAGGAGGATCATTATCTGGCTCTAAGGTAAAAATACATTGTATCGTTATATATTTATCAGAGTAATGTAAGAAATATGCACACAGTCAAAATAGATAAATGTACAAACCAATTACACCAGTCATATCCAGCTCCAAATCACTCTCCTCGCTCTCAGGTTGAGATTCAGGCTGCGATTCTGCAGGGTCGCTTTTAAATTCACTTTTGGCATCTGCCGAATCATTGGCTTTAGCTTCTGGTATCTTGCCACCGTAATGTTCTATCAGGTTTTTGATAGAGGATAATTTCGGATCATGTAAAAGAGATGGATCTTTGATGCAATGTTGAGCTAACTCCTTTAGCTGCTCGACTTGTTTAGTGAACTCCATGTTGTCTGTAAACAAATTTTGATGTGTCGAATATAATTTTAAATATAGATTTAATTGAAATAACCGGTCAACTGTAGATTTCGCGTAATAAAATCTATACGTCGTGATACAAAAAAATAAAATACATATATTTTCACTTATTTTATTTTCGCATATCGACCGTATTCTACTAACTTGAAGGACACGCAATCTAAACGGCTTGCTTCTTCAGAAATTATGAATTCTGGCGTAAATCACAGACAAACTCACCGATGTTTATAAACAAGTTTTTTGGAGCAATCGAAGCAGTTTTATCTGAAGACTATCGTGTATAATCTGTTATATTATTATTTACGTTTCGCCGCCGGATCACTTTGTCGAGACGCACAACAAATTGCGCAACAATTACAATTTCACGATCTCATTCGACGCCGGAAATGGAAGACATTAACGACTTTTAGATTCGCCGCAATCGAACTCACTGATTGGCTTAGAAATGGATTATCCGTGAAATAAGGTTTCGATTGGCCAACAACTTCAGACGCGAAGACTCGGAGTGTGAACTCAAAATTCGATACTCATATTCCGCCATATCATTTGTAAAAAAACTTGTTGCCAAATAACCAAATAATAATAATTACTTACTGCTAAAAGCTTCGTTAATTTGATCGGCCACCTTATCGCAGCTTTTAAAATCTGTATCGACACTCGCTATAATACATCCGGACGAAAAAATTCGTTACAGAACGAGCGCGCTGGAAGCAGGAACCGCAGAGCGAACTTGCACCGGAGACTAGACACTAGACGAGTGAACTCGACGACATGGCCGTGCGTCGTGAAGTCGCGCGCGGCTGCGCGTAGACCAGCGCGTAGACCTGCGCAGTAGAACCGCGCAACAGTGCTGCCGACTACCGGCGCTATCGCTGCGCCCAGCTGCGCGCTGCGCCATTATCGAGTCCACCCGTCTAGTCGATCGCGCACTCTCCGCGACGCAGGTTCGCTTCGCGGATCTTACATCCGCGAGATCGCCATTTTATGTGTTTGGCGCTGTCACGGGACGGGTGACACGGGTGCGTGCGTGCGTGCGTGCGGTGCGGTGCGGTGCGGTGCGGTGCGGTGCGGTGCGGTGCGGTGCGGTGCGGTGCGGTGCGGTGCGGTGCGGTGCGGTGCGGTGCGGTGCGGTGCGGTGCGGTGAGGTGCGGGTGGCGTCTAGGCACACCAGGACTAAGTAGTCCCCGCGTACGTCTGGTTCGGCGTTTGACAGTTGTGTGCGATTGAGCGTCTCAACATGTTGGCCGAACAACGGCCCGGCCCGGACGCGTACAAGTAACGGCGACGGCGGCCATCGGCCATCGGCGAAGCGCTCCATTCGAGCGGGGTGTCGGTCGCGGTGCGAGGCCAGGAGGCACGCACGACACGACGCGGCCCATCGAGATGGTGTAGTGTGGCGCGCGCGCGAGGCGGGCCCCTGCGAGAAACAGTGTTTTTGTCGTCATTTGTCGTCGTCCTTCTAGTTGGCAGTATAGTAAAGTGCATCCGCGAATACGCCATTCATCTCCCGCCTTTCCTTTCTCTCTCTCTCTCTTTCTCTATCTCTCTCTCGTTATCGTTCAACAATCTGTCGTCAAGAATCGTTTCAACGATCACTGTGCCATCGTCGTCGTCGTCGTCGTCGTCGTCGTCGTCGTCGTCGGCGTCGTCGTCGTCGTCGTCGTCATCGTCGTCGTCGTCGGCGGCGGACGTCGCGAGACGCTCGACATCGTTGTCGGGATCACGAACTCCGTCGATTACCCTGGATTACTCGCGACACGACGCCTCCTGGCCCTCAGTTACGATGACTACGGTGCGCACCATACCCTCGGACAAGGTCAGTGCTTTCTCTCCGTTTTTTTAATCCTTTCTTTTTTCATCACATTTATCCGTCTGTGAAATCGGTTTGTCTATTCGTCTCTTTTTCTCTCCCTCTGTCATTACGTGTCTCCTGTCATCGGTTCGTCTCGTATCTACCGCACCCTCTCGGCGCTCTCTCCCTTCTTCCCTCCCGCGTCGTCCTGCGTCGTCCTTCGCGCGAATCCTCCTTCTTTGCCTCCTTCTACTTCTCTTACGCCTCTCCCGCAATCTCCTCTTCTTCTTCTTCCTACTTCTGCATTTTCTCCTGCTTCCTTCCTCCTCTTCGCGTCCCCCTCGAGCGAGACCTTTTGCGCCGTGACGTCGTCGAGAAACTGCGAGATACATCGAACGTGACATCTCTCGCGTATCTGACATTTCGCGAAAATTATGCGTGGAACGTTTCCGAGTAATATAGCGCCGCTTTTTGTAGTAAACAGTACAATTTCCTCGTCATGTTTACGTGCTCGATAAAACAACTAGTGTCGCTTTGCGACTCGAGAGAGTGGAACAAACAAAATAGCATTTTATATTATGCTTTATTTATCATGAAAATCATTATATTTTTCTACTTAGAAAAAATTAAGACAATTTTAAAGTTTTATCGAAACATTGGCGTTTGTTACATTTTTATAATTGAAACTTGTTTGTTAAAAGTTATTAATCTTTTGTTTATATTTTTTTTTCTCCGACTAACAAGATAGTGGTTCAAAAAAATTTCAATAAACATTTCCAATTTAAATACTTTTCTCGTATTTTTGTATATTAATGCGGCTCGTTGCCTTGACACTTGAATGACCAATGTCGCTACGCGCGGATGAAAGATAAGAAAAAGACTGAGAAAGGAAATGAGATAAAATATGAAAATACGGAATGTTACGCTCGATTTATTTCCAAGTTACAAGACACTGTTTACGTCAACTTGGAGGTATATTGAATGAACACTCTCGTGTTTGTTTATCATTATTGTCCTACAGACTATTTTGACAAGCTGTCGGTATGTTATCGCAACAATACAGGAATATATTTTTCCCATCGATGCTGAATTTTCGTCTTTTTTTTTTTTTTTTAATTTGCCGTTTAACGCGCATAGGAGGAGGGAGAGGGAGATTCTCCGTTCTCCAATTCGCCGTTTGACATTGATATCCATTAAAAGGATAAAACTCTGAATCGGGCGGCATAGTTTTAACGCGTTAAACGCGACATTAAATGCGGAGTACCGTGGACCTTGGTGTCTTTAGCGATACGTTCCGTTTCGTAATAACGAAAGCGGCCCACGTTTTATGCCTCAGCTGTCATTACATCTCCCCTCCCTCCTCACCCACCCTCTCCGCGACTTTGTTACGTGCACTCGCGTATCATCGTACACTTAACGCGGATGATTAAGTACGAGATTAATTATGTTTCCAAAAAAATTTTTTTTTTTTTTTTTTTTTTTTTTTTTTTTTTTTTTTTTTTTTACTTCATCATGCAACTCGCATTTGCTATTATCGCGTATAATGAGAGATTATACGGTCGTATTTAGCGCTCGACGTGAGGTACGAAAACACGCCGATATTCGCATTCAGTTATAAAAACGTACGGATATGAATGCGATTTTGAATTTTAATCTCGATTGTAGAACGTTCATCGTTATTCTTAATCGAGAATCATGTTTTTCCTCGACGATGAATCGAAATTTGAGGGAAACGGAAATGTTATTGCTCAAATGATAAAATTAATAACGCAATTGAATAGATTCCACGAATTTACGCAATTTAGTACACATACACAGAGAAAAAAAAGTTGTTAACTTGACTAAATTCGTCCAACTAATTACTATTTCTTTGTATTTCTTTAATTGAAATATTTATGTATTTAAGTCAAATATACGTCATGTTAGATTTAATATGTCGTATTTGATTTAAATATTTACATATTTCAATTTTTTTTTTTTTTTTTTTTTTTTTTTTTTTTTTTTTTTTTTTTTTTTTTTTTTTTTTTTTTTTTTTTTTTTTTTTTTTTTTTTTTTTTTTTTTTTTTTTTTTTTTTTTTTTTTTTTTTTTTTTTTTTTTTTTTTTTTTTTTTTTTTTTTTTTTTTTTTTTTTTTTTTTTTTTTTTTTTTTTTTTTTTTTTTTTTTTTTTTTTTTTTTTTTTTTTTTTTTTTTACTTCATCATGCAACTCGCATTTGCTATTATCGCGTATAATGAGAGATTATACGGTCGTATTTAGCGCTCGACGTGAGGTACGAAAACACGCCGATATTCGCATTCAGTTATAAAAACGTACGGATATGAATGCGATTTTGAATTTTAATCTCGATTGTAGAACGTTCATCGTTATTCTTAATCGAGAATCATGTTTTTCCTCGACGATGAATCGAAATTTGAGGGAAACGGAAATGTTATTACTCAAATGATAAAATTAATAACGCAATTGAATAGATTCTACGAATTTACGCAATTTAGTACTGAGAAAAAAAAGTTGTTAACTTGACTAAATTCGTCCAACTAATTACTATTTCTTTGTATTTCTTTAATTGAAATATTTATGTATTTAAGTCAAATATACGTCATGTTAGATTTAATATGTCGTATTTAATTTAAATATTTAAATATTTCAATTAAAGAAATAATAATTAGTTGAACGCATTTAGTCAAGTTAACAACTTTTTTTT